CATTATCTTTAAATGTTGTGTTCTTCATTCTCTTCTAGAATTGTGATCGGACATATGTTAGACTTTCACATTCTTTTTCTGCCATGCGTCTGTGCTGCTCTCTTTGTGATTACTTGAGATGTTCCAATTCACTGAGTGTCTCTTCAGTGCTGATATGTTTAACCAGTCCTTAGGGTTTTTTTTCAATGACTGTATTTTTTATTTATAAAAGTTATTTTGTTCATTTCTAACTCTGTCTAGTCTTTTTATTTTTAAGTAGCATTTTGTTCTTTGCTCATGTGTTCCATTCTCTATTACTTCAAATATTTTAATATACTTAATATTCCATATCTAAAATTTCTTGGTTTAAATCAACCCCTTGTTTCTGCTGAGTCTTTTTTTTTTTTTTGGACTGTTATTGTTGGTGGCTCCTTTCCTTGTCTGTTATGTATATTTAGATTATGAATTTGCATCTATCTCGGTTCTGTCTGTGCAAATCTTACGTCCTCCCCCTCCCTCAGATAAAATTTGCCCTTGCCATATATCCTGCAATGTAAGCCAGGAACGCTTTTGTTTTTGTTGTTTTTTGTTTGTTTGTTTTTTTAAAATTTTGTGTATTTATGTAGAGAGAAAAAGCAAGAGAGTATGTGGACAGGGGGAGCGGCAGAGGGAGAGAGATGAGCATGAAGCCAGATGCAGGGTTCGAGATCATGACCTGAGCTGACTGAGCCACCTCAGCACCTCATAAGCCAGGAACACTTTTAATTTCTCAGCCTGGAGCTTTTTTGATTTGTTGGGGCAGAGATTTAGCTGCTAAAAAAGAAGCCCCAAATAAAATAATGGTGGCATAAGCAAGAATATGGGCTTACTTTTCTGTCAGGACAGTGTGAGCAAAGCGGCGGAGGCTGTCAGGATAGCCCTGCTGTCTCTGTCATCTGCCTCCTCCTCTTTTGCTCCAGAACAGAACCCTTAGGGTATTGCCTGACAAGGTACACATCAGCTTGCTACCTTGTCTTTATTGCAGCAAGCAGGAGAAGACAAAAGGGAAAGAGGAGGGCACTTTATAGAAATGGTACACAGCATTTCTGCTCATTGTTCTCTTGGCCAGAATTTAGTCCTGTCCCCACACAAGCTGCAAGGGAAGCTGGAGATGGAGTCTTTGTTCTTAGTAGTTACGTATCCTGTGAGAAGTGGTCAGATCGATCTGTAGAAGGAGAGGATAGTAGAAATAGCAACAATCAGCAGGCTTTTCCACTGCCAACAAAAATAGACATTTGAAATCCCAACCCCAGTGAAAGCCAACTTTTTGTCAGGGAGGAAATTTCATCTTTTTCTTCCCTTTCTTAGGGGCTCAGCCTGATAGAGGATTATTTTTTTAAAAGGTTTATTTATTTATTTACTTATTTGAGAGAATGGATACAAGCACGGGGCAGGAAAGGGCAGAGGGAGGGAGAGAAGTAGACTCCCTGCTGAGCATGGAGCCCCACAGCATGGGGCCCAGATAGCAATCTTGACCTGGACCCAAAACCAGGAGTCAGATGCTTAACCTACTGAACCATCCATGTGCCCCCTACAGATGGCTATTAAAAATGGTCCTTGTAACCTGGCTTTATGCTGGCAACCCTTTACTTTGCAGGGGCTCTGACCACTAGTTTTTTTTTAACTCAACTGTGCATTTATTTGAAAAAACTGCTTATAATATTTAGTATTTGTACTACAGGTAATTTGATCCAGCTGTATCTTTTCTCTTCTTTGGTGTATTGTGTTTATTCTTATTTAAATGACCTAATTTCCTTTTTTTGTTCTTTTACCTTGTTTCTTAATTTCATTATCCCATTTTGGAGTTCCAGGCCTGGATTTCTTTTTCTTCATCTCCGGTGTGTAGTCTGATGTAATGAGTGTGTGTGTGTTTCTGGTGATAGGTGGGTGATGTTGTTGGACAGACAACTAGAGGTCATTCCCCCTCCTGAGAATGGAAAATGGAAGGATACCAGTTCTGCTTTCTTCTCCAGATTTAGATTATTAGTGAGTATTCTCAGGGTTTTGTTGGTTCACCAGAAGACTTCTGGAAGATGGGGCAAGGCTAGGAGCTTGACATGGCTCTGCCTCTTAAGTTCACTGGAAGAGGCAAATTCTTCAGCAGTGTTAGCCCACCAGTGTAGCATTATTTTTCCTTGAAATTATTGTAAGTCTTAGTTGTTTTTTCTACATCATCTTCACTATCTGTTTGAATCAAATGTGTAATATTAATGATGTATCATTGTGCAAATGTTTATCATTTATGGGTTTTGCTGTAACAGATAAATCTGCAGAGATCTTACTCATCCCTCTGTTGTTTTGCATCTGTTGCATTATTCCTGAGGTTGAATTCCTGGGAGTAGAATTGCTGTGTCAAAGAGTATAACAAATATCTCTGAATCTTGTCTCATACCGCCTTTTTTTTTAAGGTTATGACAACTTAGATTCTCACCAGAAGTGAATGAGCATACTAATTTCACTGTAGCCTCATTAGTATCTGGTGGTAGGATTTCTTTTCCTTTAAAAAAAAAAAATTGCTGTAGCACAGTATCTTAAGTTACTTAAATATTCATATCTTTTATTGTTGAGCTTTAACATTTTCCTGTGGGTTAGTTTACTACTTACTTTCTCTTCTGTGAATTGTGTGTTTTTATATTGGTCTATTTAACAACCTTGATATTTTTCAGATACTTGCAAACCAAGTTCCTTTATAAAGAAAAAGTTGATCTTTCCATTTTTACATTTTGTATAGCTATTTTTACAGATCTTTTTGTATTTTTTTCAATTAGGTTTATTCAAAAATTTGTATTTCAGTATGATGAAATCTCTTGTCGGTTTAAATTTAGAAAGTTATTTGATAAATGTTTTATTCTTTTTTTTTTCTTGCTAACTTTTTGTAATTTTAATTCTTTATTCTTGTGTTTGGTATGTGAAGAAGGTGTGCTCTGAATAAGTGGGGAGTAATTGGCAAGAGATCTTATTAATCCCATTTATAAAGTTTTTTAAAAATCTCCCTGTATTAGAAAACTGACTCTCCTATATTGTGCTTTTCTACATAATTATTTTTAGTAGGTTTTTGTTTGTTTGTTTGTTTTATTTTGTTCTGTTTTCAAATGGGCTCCACACCCAACGTGGGGCTTTAACTTAATCCCTGAGATAAGAGTTGCTTGCTTTGGGACATTCGGGCTTCCCTCCCCTAATTCTTTTTTTTTTTTTTTTTTTTTTAAATTTTTATTTGTTTTTTCCCCCGTAATTCTTTTTAATAGTTCTTAGTGTCTGTAAGGATATGCCTCATTCTTTTTTAAAAGGTATTCTTTCCTAATTTTGTCTAAGTTTTAATTGTTCTATTTCAAAAAGGGGATTCCTATTGGACCATCTCTTAGGAATGAGTAGATGTTAATATTTGGTTTGGTTTTCTCTTTTCATAGTTTACCTTTTTACTTACCAGTTGTTTTCAATATTGCAATAAGCAGTTATTTTTAATAAAAGTCCTAAGTAGTTGGGGTACCTGGATGACTCAGTCGATTAAGTGTCTGCCTTCGGCTCAGGTCATGATCCTGGGGTCCTGGGATCGAGTTCCACACCAGATTCCTTGTTCAGCAGGGAGCCTGCTTCTCCCTCTCCCTCTGTCTGCTACTCTGCCTGCCTGTGCACTTGCACATGCGCTATCTCTCTCTCTCTCTCTCTCTCTGTCAAATGAATAAATAATCTATCTTTAAAAAACAAAGTCCTAAATAGTTAAGACTTTGTTTCTAGGGGCATCTGGATGGCTCAGTCAGTTAAGCTTCTGCTTTCGGCTCAGGTCATGATCCCAGGGTTCTGGAATCATGACCTGATTGAACCCATGAACCCAGGGTTCTGGATCCCCGCATTAGGATCCCCGCTGAGCAGGGAGTCTGCCTCTCCCTCTCCCTCTTCCTCTGCCTCCTCTCCCCTGCTCAAGCTCTGTGTGTGTGTCTCTCTCTCTCAAATAAAGAAATCTTAAAAAAAAAAAAAAGTAAGACTTTGTTTCTAAATATTTTGTGTGTACATTTGCCATTGTAAATGAAATCTTTCATTATGATTTTTTTGATGACTCTTAGTAAGAATTTAGGGAAATAAAGCCTTTAAGAGAGATTATTTTTTAAGATTTTATTTATTTTAGAAGAAGCCAGAGAGCAGGAGGAGGGGCAGACGGAGGGGGAGAGAGTCCCAAGCAGACTTCATTGTGAGCACAGAGCATGATGCCAGGCTTGATCCCAGGATCCTGCGATCGTGACCTGAGCTGAAATCAGGAGTCAGACACTCAAATGACTGAACTACCCAGGCGCCCCCCACCACCACCCTGAAAGATTTTGATCAACTTTCAGTTTGAATAAATGAAATTCTGTAGCTTTTTTATTATTTATTTACTTATTTTTAATTTTGAGGTTCCTAAGATGGATCCTTGGTTTAGGTAAAAACTACACATTCTTTTATAGGCTATGAACATTGAACATTCTTCAGTAATGTTCAGGAAGAACATATTAAACATTGTTTAGGGGGAAGTGTAAATAAAAATATTGAATACTACTAGTGACATAAGCTCTGCATCTTTTTCATCTAAGTAATTTTTGGGTATCTAGAGCTCTAAGCTCCTTATAGACAGAATTTTACATCTAATAAATGGGAACTCCTTAATGGCAGAGTAAGTTAAAACATAAGTTTAACTCAAAATACAAGTGAAATTTAAATGAAGGAAAAGAAAACACAATGTTAGGGTGCCTGGGTGGCTCAGTGGGTTAAGCCGCTGCCTTTGGCTCAGGTCATGATCTCAGGGTCCTGGGATCGAGTCCCGCGTCGGGCTCTCTGCTCAGCAGGGAGCCTGTTTCCCTCTCTCTCTCTCTGCCTGCCTCTCTGCCTACTTGTGAACTCTGTCTGTCAAATAAATAAATAAAATCTTAAAAAAAAAAAAGAAAACACAATGTTATTTCCATCTTTACCCATCATTTGTAAAATTTAGCTATTCTTTGTTCTGTCTGTAGGTGGAAAACCATGAATTCCTTGTGAAACCTTCATTTGATCCCAATCTGAGTGAATTAAGAGAAATAATGGATGACTTAGAAAAGAAGATGCAGTCAACATTAGTAAGTGCGGCGAGAGATCTAGGTAAGAAGGCCTCATTGGTGGTTTGAATAATTCTTTTGTCTATATAGTGTTCCCACTTGTGCCAGAATTACTTGCCTAGAAGACATAGTGGATCATGCCACTTCTTGCTTAAAGTGCCAGGCCTTTCTTCAACAGAATAAAATTATAGATACTTCCAAGTTGAGATATAGGATGCTTTGCATTTGGAGCCTCACCCTCTTCCAGATTTGTCTCTCACTAACTTTCCAACCCCAGGATAATCCCACATTCCTGCCAGACAAATCAACCAAGAGGCCCTTGCATCATTTCCTTGAAATAGGATCTGTATTAAACATCACCTCTTCTGTCAGCGGCATTCTACTAGTTCATTGATTTGGCTTTGGTATTCGCAGGCATGTCAGTAACATCAGCTTTTTTTAAATGTCTGCCTTCCATACTGATTTTTGTTTTGTTTTGAGAGAGAGAACACATGTGGAACTTCGGGGAGGGAAAGAGGGAGAAGGAGAGAGAAAAAAAATTTTTTTATTTTTTTTTTTAAGATTTTATTTATTTATTTGACAGAGAGAGACCACAAGTAGACAGAGAGGCGGGCAGAGAGAGAGAGAGAGAGAGAGAGAGAGGGAAGCAGGCTCCCTGCTGAGCAGAGAGCCCGATGCGGTACTCGATCCCAGGACCCTGAGATCATGACCTGAGCCGAAGGCAGCGGCTTAACCCACTGAGCCACCCAGGCGACCGAAAAATTTTTTTTTTAATATTTTATTTATTTATTTAACAGAGAGAGAGAGATCACAAGTAGGCAGAGAGAGGGGGAAGCAGGCTCCCTGCCGAGCAAAGAGCCCGATGTGGGGCTCGATCCCAGGACCCCGGGACCACGACCCGAGCCGAAGGCAGAGGCCTTAACCCACTGAGCCACCCAGGTGCCCCAGGAGAGAGAAAATCTTAAGCAGGCTCCTTCTCACCCAGTGTAGAGCCTAGCTTGGGGCTTGATCTCAGGACCCTGAGATCATGACTTGAGCCAAAATCCAGAGTCTGTTGCTTAACCAACTGAGCAGCCCAAGTCCCCCATACTAGATTATTAATTCCCCAATTAGTCTCATATTATTCACACTAATTTGTTCTGAATTTATGAACCTTTTTGTTTGAACATCTCTCATGTGTATGTTGAATGAATAAAAATATAGCTTAGCATATTAGTAGAACCCTCAGGCAATAATTCTTAATAAATTTCTGGAGAATCTGATGAATCCTCTTCCCAGAAATATGTCCATACCTACATATACAAAAAATTTTGCAGATAGTTACCATGAAGAATCCATATATGGACTAACCAGGTAAAGAATCTTTGCCTTTCAGGGCACCTGGGTGGCTCAGTGGGTTAAGCCACTGCCTTCGGCTCAGGTCATGATCTCAGGGTCCTGGGATCGAGTCCCGCATCGGGCTCTCTGCTTGGCGGGGAGCCTGCTTCCCTCTCTCTCTCTCTCTCTCTGCCTGCCTCTCCATCTACTTGTGATCTCTCTCTGTCAAATAAATAAATAAAATCTTTAAAAAAAAAAAAAATCTTTGCCTTTCTTTACTCTTCTCATTTCATAGCCCTTTCACGTTCTTTCTATGATCTCTTCCCTCCCTAGCCCAGTGAAGTCTGTCTTTAGTTGTTGGCTACTACTAATATTTGATAGCCATGCTTTAGCAATTAAATTTGTAAATATGGTCTCTCTCTTCTGATTTGTACTCTAAAGATCACATTGATGAATGAGAGGGTGGGGACAGACTTAGAAAAACTCAAAAATCTTAGGTAAATATAATCCAGGTGATCGATCATTGCTCATTTTGTGAAATTTCCTACATTTAACAGAAACTGTGTGTCCTTGTTTTATAGAGTTTCATTGTGAGAGACGTAAGTTTTTGTTTGGAAAGTGTGTTTATTTTAATCCTACTCTGTGTTAGTTCCAGAGAAATGCTTCAGTGAAGTAAAGAACCGGGGTGCAGAGCTTCTCAGGGTCAGGGGCCGTATGGTGTGAACCCTCTGGACATAGCCTACTGTGGTGCTCTGTAGCCTTGGGATGGCTGTATCCAGAAAGCACTTGCACGTCAGAAGCTACCATTAATACAGAGTTCAAGGATTTTATAGATAGCCTTCATTTATTTATAGTTTTTTAAGTGAAGTAAAGTTTGAATAGTTCCCGGTTAGGTCATCATAGTAATTTCCACTGTGCTGTCTTGTAGTAAGAGTTAATTATTTTAAACATTTACATTGAAAGATGGCTGTAGGCATCCATGACATGCTTTGTCTTTATTTCCATATCATGAAGGTTTGGATCCTGGCAAACAGATTAAACTGGATTCCAATGCACAGTTTGGTTATTACTTTCGCGTAACATGTAAGGAAGAAAAAGTCCTTCGTAACAATAAAAACTTCAGTACGGTGGACATTCAGAAGAATGGTGTTAAATTTACCAACAGGTTTGTATGCCTACATTATTTTGTTAAGCCTTCAGTAGGTCCATGGAACTAAATTATTCTTTGATGAGACATGAATGTTTTATGTTAAAGAAGTTTTACCTTACTTATTGATAGGAGGTATCAGGTGAGAATGAAGCTTTATTTTCTTCTAAGAACCTTTTCTTTTTTTTTTTTTTTTTTTTTTTTTTTAAGATTTTATTCATTCATTTGACAGACAAAGATCACAAGTAGGCAGAGAAGCAGGCAGAGAGAGAGGGAGGAAGCAGGCTCCCTGCCGAGCAGAGAGCCCGATGCGGGGCTCGATCCCAGGACCCTGAGACCATGACCTGAGCCAAAGGCAGAGGCTTAACCCACTGAGCCACCCAGGCGCCCCAGAACCTTATCACGTGTTCCAACACACCTTGTTATAAATAACTCCTCTTTTCGTCATTGACTGAAGGGACAGTTTGGGTCTTTTTTTGTTTGTTTGTTTGTTTTATCTTTATAGATTTTATTCATTTGAGAGCACAAACAGCGGGGTGAGTGTGGAGAGGAAGAAGCAGGCTCCCCACCAAGCAGGGACCCTGACACGGGACCTTGATCCCAGGATCCTGGGATCATGACCTGACCTGAAGGCAGATGCTTAACAGACTGAGCCATCCAGGTGCCCCCTTTCAGTCTGTTTTTAAGATTGTTCTTTCATGGGTGCCTGGGTGGCTCAGCGGGTTAAAGCCTCTGCCTTCAGCTCAGGTCATGATCCCAGGGTCCTGGGATCGAGCCCCACATCAGGCTCTCTGCTCAGCAGGGAGCCTGCTTCCCTTCCTCTCTCTGCCTGCCTCTCTGCCTGCCTGTGATCTCTGTCTGTCAAATAAATAAATAAAATCTTAAAAAAAAAAAAAGATTGTTCTTTCATGGGGCACGTGGGTGGCTCAATCGGTTAAGCAGCTGCCTTCCATTCATTTCATGATCACGGGATCCTGGGATTGAGTCAGGCTCTCTGCTCAGCAGGGAGTCTGCTTCTGCCTCTCTCTCTGCCCCTTCTCCAGCTTGTGCTTTTCCTACTTACTGTCTCTCAAATAAGGAAAATCTTAAAAAAACAAAAAACTGTTCTTTCACGGGGTGCCTGAGTGACTCAGGGGGTGAGTATCTGCCTCTTGATTTTGGCTTAGATCATGATCCCAGGGTCATGAGATCAAGCCCCCCAGTCACGATTCCCACTCAGCAGGGAGTCTGCTTGATATTCTCTCTCTCTCCCCTCCTCTTCCCCTCCCCACTCACTCTCTCAAATATATTTTTAAAAAAATTAAAAAGAAAGATTGTTCTTGGGCACCTGGGTGGCCCAGTTGGTTAAGTGTCTGCATTCGGCTCAGGTCATGATCCCAGGGTGCTGGGATCAAGTCCTGCATCGAGCTCTTTGTTTAGTGGGGAGCCTGCTTCTCCCTCTGCCTGCCACTCCCCCTGCTTGTGTGTGCTCTCTCTCTATCAAATATAAATAAAATCCTTTAAAAATTTTTTTAAAAAGATTGTTCTTTCACATATCTGTCTCACCATTGTTTTGTCAATATGAGATTGTGTTAGTTTATATTACACTTCCATATCTATTAACATTAGTTCCCCATCATATCTCTGGTTTATATTTATTTTCACATTTGCTTTTTCTAAGAAGGTTTTGATACCATTTATCAATTTTAAAAATTCTGGTATATCAGTTGGATATATAAATTAGGATAGGGAGATGCCTACCAGCTTTAGTGAGGCCACTTACTAGATTATTGCTTTTTCAAAATCCTGTTTTATGTTGAAAAAGATTTTACAAGTTTTTCTTTTTCTTTACTGATGTTAGAAAGTTTCTTAAATTATTTATAGGTGAAAGAAGAATTATTTTGAAATAATGTTCTATGATGTGGGGTGGGGACATTAATCTTTTTCCTTCTGTACTCTATTAGAATTTATGGGAGGCCTTACATCCACCCATCCTGAATATACCCAGTACTTTACCGGTAGTTTTGTGTATATGATCCCCTTTTATCCATTTATTCAGCAAGTATTTTGTTTATTATGTGCAGTCTTTAATTTCTAGGTGTTCAGACACCCCAGGAATGAAAACAATGTTTGGTTTGTTTTTCGTAACAATTCTGATATAAATAGGTTTATTTCTCGTTATTTATTTTATTTTTTTTTTTTTTTAAAGATTTTATTTATTTATTTGTCAGAGAGAGAGCGAGCACAGGCAGACAGAATGGCAGGCAGAGGCAGAGGGAGAAGCAGGCTCCCTGACGAGCAAGGAGCCCGATGTGGGACTCGATCCCAGGACACTGGGATCATGACCTGAGCCGAAGGCAGCTGCTTAACCAACTGAGCCACCCAGGCGTCCCTATTTCTCGTTATTTAGATGAAGAGGCTGAAACTCCCCATTCCCCAGGATTAGATGACTAGTAACATTTGATACTCATAGCTAGATCTCCTATTGCCCAACTTAGTAGTAGTTGTCTTTCTAGCAAACTATATCCCTGGTCCAAACTATATTCAGTAATGGCTTAGCTGAGACAGAACTTTTAGGGTATTATAACCATCTTTGAATCACCATGGGTTAGTTATAAGTAAATGAGATTGAGCTGAATGACCGCATTTAATCTAAAAGTTGAAGAAGATTCATTTATTCATTTTTGTCTGCAAATTGAATCCTTGCTGTGTATCTGATTCTTTGATCATATAATTTTCCTTCTTTAAAACTGGTGGTGTCTGTCATCCAGAAAAGTCTGCAGTCTTTATTGTAACCTGCAGGGTCTGGTCCCCTCCCCATCCACTTTCATCTCTTGTTTGCTCTTTCTTCACACTGTGGTCTCATTTTTACAATGTCTTTGCCTCTTGCTTGACTTCCTTTAATTCCTTCTGTTTGCCTGTTTGCTAGTAGTCGTCGCTACTGCTGCTGCTTGCCCATGCACTGTTCCTGAGCTGTAATATATGTGTTATGCCATCAGCCAATCCATTAACTTTACAGTTGTTGCTTTGGTCAGTGCCTTCCTCCATATAGAGAATGCGTCTCTTCTCTGTGCCCCCATCTTGTCTTTTTATTTTTTATTTCATTCCCTTCCTTTGGCATCCATGAATATTTTTCCTTTACTTTATTCTTGTCCTTCCTCATTTTTTTTTAAAGATTTTATTTATTTATTTGACAGAGAGAGATCACAAGTAGGTAGAGAGGCAGGCAGAGAGAGGGGGGAAGCAAGCTCCCCACTGAGCAGAGAAGCCCGATGCGGGCCTCAACTCGATCCCAGGACCCTGAGATCATGACCCAAGCCAAAGGTAGAGGCCCAACCCACTGAGCCACCCAGGTGCCCCCTTCCTCATTTTTTATTTCAACCTATAGTTTTCATTTTTTTCTTTACTCAGTAAGATTTGGTTTTCAAAATATTTTCTTACTTCGACAACCTTCAGTATCAAAAGCAGCTATATACTACAGTAACGAGAGAAACTGTGTGGTGTGTGTATAAATTTGGAAAGGGGGGATGGGGATCCCTGGGTGGCTCAGTGGGTTAAGTATCTGCCTTTGGCTTGGGTCATGATCCCAGGGTCCTGGGATTGGGCCCTCCATTGGACTCCCTGCTCAGCAGGGAGCCTGCTTCTCCCTCTGCCTGCCGTTCCCTCTGCTTGTTCTCTGTCTCTGTCTTTCTTACAAACAAATAAAATCTTTTAAAAAGGGGGGTGGGTAGATGGCCTTTATCTGAAATGAGGATGAAGACTTAATTCCATTTAAATATTTTAGAAAAGGTCAGATCAATACTCGGGCATAAATGTTACAGCAAGAATTGTGCCAATAGGCTCTTTCAAACAGCATAAATGTTAATACACTGAATTCCATCCACATCTGCCCCTAATGAGTTGCCCATTTTCTACTCACATTTTCATTTTAATTATTGTTTTGGTGCTTTATAGGATAGATGCTCTGGATATATTTTATGTAGAACATATTACTTCAGTAGATGTTTTGATATTTTTAATAACGTGATTATCTTGACTTGCAGTAAACTGACTTCTCTCAATGAAGAGTATACCAAAAATAAAACTGAGTATGAGGAAGCCCAGGATGCCATTGTTAAAGAAATTGTCAATATTTCTTCAGGTAAATTTAACAGAACCAATAATATAACCTGGTTTTTAGTAATAGAAAAGATACCGGTATGTTTCAAGAGTGATTTTTTTAAAAAAAGATGTTAACACACTGTTTATTATGTTAGGCTACCTATAAAATAATGTGTGCGGTATTGTGGTGGGAAGAGTAACTGGAAATAACTCTTACATAGAAAGATAAGCTAGTGCAGGCTAAGGAGTGGGAATACCCTGAGAAACAGACCCGTATAAAAGCACAAAATTTATTGTAGTTGTAACAAGGAAAAGAAACACCAAGGACTGAAGGCACTAATAATTTTAGATTATTTTTGGGCTCATGTTCTAAGTTTTAGAAATAAATATCGCTAAAAAACAAACAGGAAATGATACATGAAGCAAGCCTTTTCGAGTTCTATATGCCATTTTGTAGATTTTCAGACTTCCTTCTGGAGGACACTGTTTGAGAAGATTGCATCGCTTAATACTGTGGTGTTGCCCTTGACACAGAATGAATGTATGTTTAGCACAAGGTGGGGCTGATGTGTTAAACTGGAAGGTTTTGCCTGTCATCACATGTATATTGACTATAACTTTTATTGTGCCTTCCAAAAATACACCAACGAACTACTTCAACCAAGTGATCAAAGTTGGCATAATCAGTAATTGAACAAATGACTTTTATGTGCATCTTGATGTGATGTAGAGGGAAGAGCACAGTATTGTCCATGTGGTATTCTTGACAAAAATGTTTAACCTGATTGTTAACAAGAAGGGAAAGGGAGATAAATTTAGATTGTGGGACATTCTTTTTAAGGCTTGTACTCTTTAAAAATGTCTGTGTCATGGTAGCAAAAATGGAATGGCCACGATCTGTTCTAGATTATAGGAGACTTAAGGAGACACAACGAGCGGATCAGCAGATGGTCCTGAATGGATCCAGGTCTAGGAGTTGGGGGTGGGGAAGAGCTATCAGGGACACTCAGGACAAATTGGTGAAGTTTGATAAGACATAACATGATATTGGTATCCTATTTCTTGGGGTGTGTATTGTGAGTAAGTAAGAGGATGTCCTCATTTCCAAGGTATTCATGCATTTAAAAACTATGTGCTTGTATAATTCTGTGAATTAATTATTTTACTATTATGAATTTTATAGTAAAATAAACACAAAACTTAAAGGTTGGTGTTTTGTTTTGTTTTTTAATTTTATTTATTTGTGAGAATGTGGGTGGGATAGGGAGAGGGAGAAGCAGACTCCCCACTGAGCAGGGAGCCTGATGGGGGGCTCCATCCCAGGACCCTGAGATCTTGACCCAAGCCAAAGGCAGACGCTCAACTGATGCTCGGCTGAGCCACTCAGGCACCCCAGAAGGGTTTTAATACACTTTATGTATTGGTGTTGAGGTGAATGAGTTTTGTAAATATTCTGGGTTTTTTTTGGTGGTATCAAACAACTATAGTTGAAAATGCCTAGATGCATTTTTAAGGACCCTGTAAATACTATATATTCAAACTGGGAATCTTCCTCAAAAAGAAATAGTATCAACTCAGATTCATCAAGCACCTTCTAGGTTAAAAAAGGTGCTAGCTTCAAACATTTAAATGGAGGGTGTTTTGTATTTAGAGTTACCTTGAATTTATTCGTTTATTTATTTGTTTTAGTTTTATTTGTTTATTTGGAGCAAGAATAATAGAGCACGAGCAGGGGAGAGGGGCAGAGAGAGAGGGAGCAGACTCCCCACTGAACAGGGAGCCCAGTGTGGGGCTCTATCCCAGGACCCCAGGATCATGACCTGAGCCCGATGACCTGAGCATAACATAACCGACTGAGCCACCCAGGTGCCCCTAGAGTTACCTTGAATTTAAATGAAACCTTTTCTTGGTCTAATATACACATTATCTGTATTTAAAAATATAATGGGTCATTTCTGTGGTTCTTTATCTTGCTATTAAATCAGAATAGGTGATGCTGTTAAGAGCCAGGTGATATGAAATACCTTAAGAGGTTTCAGTTTTCCTTTTTTAAAGTAGTTACAGTAAGTACTCCATTAATGTTTAAGTAATTTTTTTTTTTTTTTTTTTAGATTTTATTTATTCATTTGACAGATAGAGATCACAAGTAGGCAGAGAGGCAGACAGAGAGAGAGGAGGAAGCAGGCTCCCGGCTGAGCAGAGAGCCGGACGTGGGGCTCCATCCCAGGACTCTGGGATCATGACCTGAGCTGAAGGCAGAGGCTTTAACCCACTGAGCCACCCAGGCACCCCAGTGTTTAAGTAATTCTTGCAGATTCTTGTTCCTACATGAAAGGGTGGTGTGAACCATTCTTTTCCTTTTTTTTTTTTTTTTTTTTTAAAGAATACCTGTTAGATAAAACAGGCATAAATTGGAAGTGGTGAAACAGTAAGAGAATTACTTGCATTCAGCCATTCATAAGTTAATTTTTATTTGTAAAACATTGTATCACTTTTATGGGGAGCAGGGGAATCAAAGATGAATCCTACTTGCTGCCATTTGATTAAACTCTTAACTTTTTTTTCTAAAATAATGCAGTATTCTCATGAATGTCCTTTGAAGCTTTTGACACATTGATGCCTGTGTGATAGTTCTACATAACATATGGGATGTTTCACTAAACCCTCCAAGCTATTAAAATTTTAGACTCTATTCTATAAATTTTGATCATTTTTATTATTTGGACTGAATTGCCTGCCACATATCGGGCTTTTTAGTGTACATAATAGCTTTTAGTTTTAATGTTCTAGAAGAGTAGAATCTCACTGGAAGTATTTTAAGTGACAATTATGCATTTAAATTTTGCATGTGGTACTGATTGGGGAAAAAATGCTCAAGTAAACAAATCGTATGGTCAGGTTTATACAGGCACAGGCCTTGACAGTGACATTATTTTATTACAACCTGGTGTTTGCATGTATCTTCTGATAAGCAGCTGTGTGTTTTCTGTTTTAATGAATTCTGGTAAGAGAGGACATCATACTCTTTCTATTTTTGAAATCTATTCATAGTAGAGGAAGATGTAGTAATACATTTTAACCTTGTGGTAAGGCTTTAGATGTTCCTTTCAAGTTTGGTTATGGCAAACTTCTGTTAATTTTTTGAAAAGTAATAAATTAGAAAATGGATTTTAAATTCCCAAATAGGGAAGTTAAATTTATTTCTATAACTGCTTATATGTATTTTCTTTGTTCAGTATTCCTTGGCACATTTTCTGTTTTTATACAGGATACGTAGAACCAATGCAGACACTCAATGATGTGTTAGCTCAGCTAGATGCTGTTGTCAGCTTTGCTCATGTGTCAAATGGAGCACCTGTTCCCTATGTACGTCCGGTCATTTTGGAGAAAGGACAAGGAAGAATTACACTGAAAGCGTCCAGACATGCTTGTGTTGAAGTTCAAGATGAAGTTGCATTTATTCCTAATGATGTTCATTTTGAAAAAGCTAAACAGATGTTCCACATCATTACTGGTAAAAAAAAAAAAAAAAAAAAGAACACCTAATTTATGGGCTTTTGGGGGGGGTAATGATTCCATCTTTTTATGTTGGAGTGGAATTATTTAAAACTGATAAAATCCTAGTTCTTGATGTTAGAAAAAGAACATGTTATTCATCCTAGTTAGTGATATGTTCACTTTTGGGTTAGAGGGAAGATTTGGAAGGAGGGGGAAGCCTTAAGGAGCAAATGTCATCTTTATATGAAACTTCTGTTTCAAAGGTTTCATGCGTTTAAAAATGAACATCCCTTCAACCTCAAAGCCTACCTTTGAGCCAGACCTTTCAATAGTGAGGTCATTGAAGGTGAAGCAAAACTGATTGCTGGAATGACCTCAGCTTGGGGGTAGCAATTCTTTTAAAGACATGGGACTGTATTTCTGTGAAATTTGAAAAAAGTTTGCTCATAGACTAATGCAGCATGTCTCAAGCTGAAGTATTTTTAGATGTTAACCAGATTCTAGAAAACAAAAGTGGAGGGGGTACTCTTTGGGCAAATGTATTTGGGAAACAGTGATAATATTCTAGTTCCCCAAATGGATTTTCAAGTTGTTCATAGCAGCGTTAAGTAAGGTTGTGTCTTAGGGCTTTAGTATGGAGTTGAAGTGATTTGAAGGATTAGACCATACTAACTCATTCACTAATAGCCTCATTTATTAATGAATTACAGTGTTTAGTTAATCAGTTAGGTGTGTACTGTTTTTTCTGGATGACATAAAATTACCGTGCTGGCAACTGTATGAACTGTGGGAAAATCTGTAGTTCTTTTAGGCAAATTACAGGTAAGGTAAATTTTTCATAGTCCTCTCAGTGAAGAGTGCAGTGTAAGTTTGTGTGAAGGAAAAAGAGCATTACTCTGGCAGTTGATGGTTCTGCTGCTTCTATGCCATATCCATGCAACCAGGTGATTAGTCACAAATGTGCGATTAGTGGCAGAAATAAATTAATAATCTTGCTTTTTGATGTAATTTATTTTAAAGGCCCCAATATGGGAGGTAAATCCACTTATATTCGCCAAACTGGGGTGGTAGTTCTCATGGCCCAGATTGGGTGTTTTGTGCCGTGTGAGTCAGCGGAAGTGTCCATTGTGGACTGCATCCTGGCCCGCGTAGGGGCTGGCGACAGTCAGTTGAAAGGAGTCTCCACATTCATGGCTGAAATGCTAGAAACTGCTTCTATTCTCAGGTGAGTGATTTTCCCAGACTCCTCAAAATGGAAATGAATGTCCCTGTCCTGTGAAGTACATTTGCAGATTCATCTATAAAACATCAGTTTAATAGTTCCAGATCCAGTTTAATAGTTTTCTTATGAACTTTATACACTTCATATTGTCCTAAAAGGGTAATTCATAATAGTTGAGGAAAACTTTGATTTTTAATTTGTCTTAAGGTTTCTGGTAGTTTTTCACCTTATAACCGCCACCACTACCATGCTCTTGCTTAAACTGTTCACAATATCTGGAATGTTTACCCATGTCCTTTCCAATCTTTAAAGGCCTTAGTGACAGAAATTCTACTTCTCTGACTTCCCTTGTCAATTAAGCCTCAGGTCATGGGTATTTCTTTGAACTCTGACATGCCTGTAATATATTTGGTTTTTTATTTTAGAGGTTACTGAAATCTCTTTTCCTTATTTTATTTTTAAGGCGCTTCTTTAAAGGCAGAGAAGCTATGCCTTCCATTTCTTGGTGTCTTCTAAAGCATATCACATATCCCTAGTAAATTACTGCTCATTACTTGTTTGTGGGGAATTACAGAAACAGTACAAAGAGTCAGTATAGTAATTGGTCAGCAAGCTAATATTCATAACTTAAATAAGCAAAAGGTGTCAGTGGAAATTCACAGGAAAATAAATGAATGATATGCACATGAAGAACTGTTAAATTCTTAGGGCTCCTGGATGGCTCAGTTAGATAAACATGCAACTCTTGATCTCAGCTCATGTCTTGACTTCACAGTCATGAGTTCAAGCCCCCTGCTAGGCTCCATGCTGGGTGTGGAGCCACTTTAAAAAAAAAAAAATACTATTGCATTCTCTGATTGAGAAAAAAAAAATTCCCCTCCTTACATTTGCTTAAAGAAGAGAAAAGGAAGAATGCTAATATCTGATTGGTAGGGCTGCAGCCAGCATGCTAGTTTACATGACCACCAGCTGCATGTCCATAACGTGACACCCTTGACCCACCTTCATGCGGTATTCGTAAAGTCTGGGCTGGTTTGATTGGCAATAAGTGAATGATAGATAATTCAAAATTCTTTGATTACTATTTGTGAAATTGGTAATTTTTACAAGAAATACTTCTCCATCACTTGTTTATGACCATGCCCATTTTCTTCTTTTAATTGACTATTGAATTTTTTATATATGAAGATAATCTGGGTTTTGTGGCACATCTTTCCCATTGTATTGTCTTAATTTCGTTTTTTTTTTTTCATTGTCACATATTATATCACGGGCGATTTTCATGTATTTGTGTGTTTCAGGTCTGCAACCAAAGATTCTTTAATAATCATAGATGAATTGGGAAGAGGAACCTCTACATATGATGGATTTGGATTAGCGTGGGCTATATCAGAGTACATTGCGACAAAGATTGGTGCTTTTTGCATGTTTGCAACACATTTTCATGAACTTACTGCCTTGGCCAATCACATACCAACTGTTAATAATCTACATGTCACAGCACTAACTACTGAAGAAACCTTAACTATGCTTTATCAGGTGAAGAAAGGTGAGTGTATACCACTGGTATACTGTAAATTCAGGTGTGGCAGTGGGAAACTTCCACCCATGACATCATGAATCATTGCCTTATTCTGAGTGAATTATTCATGTTTGTCAGAACACATTTACTTTTTTTTTAATTAAAAAATTTTTTTTCTAAGATTGATTTTACTCATTTGACAGAGATCACAAGTAGGCAGAAAGACAGACGGTGGGGTGGGGGGGGCAGGCTCCCCGCTGAGCAGAGAGCCCGATGAGGGCCTCGATCCCAGGACCCTGAGATCATGACCTGAGCCAAAGGCAGGGGCTTAACCCACTCCCAGGCGTCCTTAATTCATAATCTGGGTACAAGGACAAGGTGCATTATATTTCTGTGTCTCACAGTAGAACGACAGTTATAGAAAGAATAACCCATACTCTTCAACATTACCACAGAAGGTTTTGTACTTCCATGGCAGCCTGATTCCTTGTCAAAGTAGATAGTAACAATAATAAGCTTTGAAGTTCTAGGGCATTGTTACTGTTTAAGAAACCATTTATTATAATTACTTCATTGGAATTTTAACGGTGTATTACACAAACAGGTTCATTTATTTATTTTTTTAAAGGTTTTATGTATTTATTTGACAGGGAGAGAGATCCCAAGTAGGCAGAGCAGCAGGCAAAGATGGGACAGCAGGCTCCAAGCTGAGTGAGAACCCGATGCTGGGCTCAGTCCCAGGACCCTGAGATCATGACCTGAGCCGAAGGCAGAGGCCTTAACCCACTGAGCTGCCCAGTCGCCCCACAAACAGGTTCATTTAAAGATAGGGTTTCCACAGATCCTGAAATTGTTAGTAGTTCTCACATAGGGAATGACTTGTTGGCATTCTGTCCTTTCCAAAAAGTGTCATTTTGTGGGTCTGGCAGCTAATGAGATTTTACCAAGTTGATGAGACTAATGTGCTGTCAAGTTTTTGCTGCCTAAGCATTTCACCAGTCATTGGAATAGCTTTTTCAGATCGCTATCTGATTTTCCAAGAACACATTTTATTGCATCAGTTGGTTGATATAAGTACAAAAATATTTTTGGTTCTTTGATCCTTTGTTCTTATGCTTCAGTGGGAATCCTTTTGACTTACTCTGTTTACATTATTGTTGATTTAAATATAGAAACTTTTAGGGCCGCTCACCCTGCTTGAGCTTTCCTATTCTCTCTCTGTCAAATAAATAAAATAATAAAAAATAAAATAAGATACAGATACTTTTAGTTGGACCTGGCATTTAGCATGAAATTGAAGTTTTGCTTTTTGTTTTGTGTTTTGTATGATAAATGGGTTCAGAATTTGATTTATTTATTAGAGAGACCGAGCATGAGCATGCAAGAGGGTGGGGAGGGGCAGAGGGAGAGAATCTTCAGGCAGACTCTCCCCTGAGCCTGAAGCATGCTGTGAGGCTCCACCTCATGGCCCCACCTGCCCCATCATGACCTGAGCCAAAACCAAGGGTTGGATGCTTAACCAACTGAGCCACCCAGGTCCCCTAAGAAGTGGGTTCAAAATTTTATTTTTAATTTGGCACAGAGGGAGTGAGAGCACAAGCAGCAGGGAGAGGGAGAAGCAGACTCCTCAATGAGCAGGGAGCCCAATGAGGGGCTCGATCCAGGACCCTGGGATCATGACTTGAGCAAGTCAGACTCTTCACCCGCTGAGCCAGCCAGGCTCCCCTGGGTTCAGAGTTTTGAAAGACCAGATAACCTGAGGAGAAGATAGTGATATGTCTATGCATCACTATGGGTGTTTATCAGACGTTTGCTTCTGTTTTGTTTTTGTTTGTTTCTCTTAGTTGTATGGAGTATCCAGCCCCAGAATGCATGGGCTATATAACTAGGCCAAAAAAATTTTTACAGTTGATACATAGTTGAGGCAAAAGTGGAAGCTCCATGATAACTCTGTGAGCATCACTTGCATTAAACATCTGGAAGGAATGTTATAATTCCGTTTATTTTCTGCAAACAGGGATGAAGATAAGCTACCTAGTCTATAAAATTTACTAATAATTTGGGTCCAAAATTACATTGTCATGTGTTTGCAGTAGTTCAGAATCAGAATAAGATTATGTAAGAATGGGGGGTGCCTGGGTGGCTCAGTTGTTAAGCATCTGCCTTCGGCTCAGGTCATGATCCCAGGGTCCTGGGATTGAGCCCCATATTGGGCTCCCTGCTCAGCGGGGAGCCTGCTTCTCCCTCTCCAGTTCCTCTGTGCTTGTGTTTCTTCTTGCTCTCTCTGTCATAAATAAAATATTTTAAAAAAAGGTTACGTAAGAATGGTAAGTAACTTTTCTAAGACCAGTATTGTAAATTTATTTAGCAAGCCAGTTTCCTGAAGTCTATCTAGAAAATGATGTAGGCAGATCTAGAGAATGGACCGTTCAGTAATAAGCCGTATATTTTGAGTTAAATGCTCTTTATTAGTGACACACATTTATCTTGTTTTTTTCTTCATACTTTATTTAATTCCTCCCTTATGAAATGGGAAAACGTCAGAGGGATAATTGAGTTAATTTTTCTTCAGATTCTGATATTTGTCCAGACCTCTGAGGAATCACTATCAAGCTTTTTTTGGGGATATTTTTATTTTTCCCACTGCATTTGTCAAGGATAAGATAAAACACTGTGTGCATTACTTTCCACTAAAGGCTTAATTAAAATTCCTTCATCTAAGTTACTCTGAAACATTTGGCTAATGTATTTGAAATACAAATTAAGTTTCCAAATGACAAAGTGAGATGGATAAGTTCTATTTACATCAGTTGTTTTCTCTTTCTGCCTGCTCCTCACAACCCCCAAATTTCTTGTAGGTGTCTGTGATCAAAGTTTTGGGATTCACGTTGCAGAGCTTGCAAATTTCCCTAGGCATGTAATAGAGTGTGCTAGACAGAAAGCTCTGGAACTAGAGGAGTTTCAGAATATTGGAGAATCACAAGGATACGATGATATGGAACCAACTGCAAAGAGGTGCTATCTGGAAAGAGAGGTTTGTAATATTGTGTTTGTAATTATTTAACCCTGTGTTAGATCCATCAGGTCCCATATGATGCTAATACTTACTTGATCATTCATTGTTGCCTTTCACTTTGATTTCTTTGCATGGCAAAGACTTCATCTGTATCATTTTGATTTCTGACCAAAAGAGAGCAAGTCAGTAGGACAGTAAAGTCACATTTAAAACGTAGGAGGAGGGGGCACCTGGGTGGCTCAGTGCTTAAGCCTCTGCCTTCGGCTCGGGTCACGATCTCAGGGTCCTGGGATCGAGTCCCACATCGGGCTCTCTGCTCTGCGGGGAGCCTGCTTCCTCCTCTCTCTCTGCCTCTGCCTGCCTCTCTGCCCACTTGTGATCTCTCTCTGTCAAATAAATAAAATTTTTAAAGAAAAAAAAAAAAAGTAGGAGGACAGGAATGTTAGTCTAGGTTTAAAGTAATTCAAAGGAGTTACAGGTGTCCAGGCACTTTTTTGATTACTTTATAAACAAATAGGTCAAGTCGGTTAGTGGTATATTTACTCAGTTAATTGCTTAGTTAAGGGAATAAGAAAGAAACAGTTCCTGCCTTCCATTTGTCTAGAATCTGGTTGGGAAGATATTACTGAACTTGTCAAGGAGAGTCATGCAGTATATGACATGTTTACTCTGGACAGCTCTTTTTGGGCAGGCTGTTTCACTTCTCATGGGAAAAGTATATCTTAAGTTAGGTCTTCTCTGAGTGATGAGTGAAATTTAGATGTACAGAAAGGTACAGCTTATGCTCAACATATTTTTTTTAAAGTAGAGGGTAATTCTCTGCAATAATGAAAATAAAATTAATTCACTGCTGGGTCCCAGCAGCATTTACTTCTTGTCATGATTTTAGCTTTTACCAGTGAGTTTTTTACTTGAAGGATAGATAATTCTTGATCATTATAGATGATCATGTATGATTTTTAAGCTAAAAGGTATAGTTTTGTCTTTTGTCCCTAGATAAGCAGGAGGAATGTGTTATATCTTGTTACTAGTTTAAGTTAGGGAGGTTGCTATAGAGTGCTCTTATTATCAGCACCACAGCTATTGGTGGTCTGGGTTAGGTAGGCTCTTTTATGTAATCCCTAATTTCTAAATAGAGCAGAAACCATCTACTTTTGATAACATTAATTACATTGTACAAAAAAAATACTAAATAAATTCTGAAGTTTTTTGAAAAAAACTTTAAAGGAGATGTATAACTCGATGTTCAATCTGGATTCTGTCTTTATTTGAAAAAGAGTGCACTTGTTATTTAATAGAGAAATATATCTTCTTTACCTTACCATTTGGATATCTACCTGTCAACCCTTAAGGTACTTACTAGCAACTAGCTCCCGGTATGAAAAGCAGGCTTTTAGTTCTGCTTCATACATGATGATAAACATTTACATAGTACTTACCCTTTGCCAGGCACTGTCCTATGCACTTCCAAGCACTCTCCCGTTTTCCCAGTAGCCCTGTGATGTTGATAATACTATCATCCCCTTGTTATGAATGAGGAATGTGGGTTAAGGAATTTCCCCATGGTCACATGGCAGGTAATGGCCATGCTCTTTAGAATGCCAGTGATTGGCCAGTAAAATAGTAATTTAAAAATTCTGTCCATATTTGAGTACTGAATTTTCAGTGACTGTTTATGCCTTATAGTATTTATAAACCTTGAATTCTTTTTTTCCCAGAAGATTAAGTTTATATATCAATAATGAAAGGTGAGGGATTGGGGGACTACTAAAATATTGAGCCCCTTTTCATTAGCAGCTGAAAATGTATTTATAAATATCCTTTAATGACTTGCTTTGGAGAAATACAGTCAAATAAGGGCTTTCTATATATTGGATAGTTCACATAATTTAAAGAATGTTCTTTGACTATTGGGTGGTGTGTTACAGGTTGAAATTTAATGAAACAATTCATCACGATTTATTCTGACTTTTTAAAAAAGACATTTTAAAGACTAATGGAGCATTCATATATCTTTCAGCAAGGTGAAAAAATTATTCAGGAGTTTTTATCCAAGGTGAAGCAAGTGCCTTTTACTGAAATGTCGGAAGAAAACATCACAATGAAGTTAAAACAGCTGAAAGCTGAGGTAATAGCAAAGAATAATAGTTTTGTAAATGAAATCATTTCACGAATCAAAGTTACTACATGAGAAAATCCCACAAAGGAGTAAAGAGAATACTGATAAGCTGTTGTCTAGAACACTTTTGTATTGTTTTATACTAACCCTGTTTTCATAGTGCTGGCAATTTGATACCCATGGGATATCAACTTAATAAAATATTTAGTAATACTTTGAGTACATTGTCAAGGATCTTTATTTTTGAAGAATGAGAGCTGTAGCTGAGGGATACTTAAATGGACATGGGCAGTAGGCAGTGTGTTGAATTTTATAAATAAAGTCATGTAGTTTGTGGAATTTGAAATGCGTTGTATTTCTTTGTAATAGAACTTGTATACATGTTTCTTGCAAAATGGTATGGAAAAAGCAAGTTACACCCAAAGACTTTGCAAAACTAAAGCTTCCTAAAGCTAGAAGGAACCGTGGAAATAATTTCCATTGGTCTCTACAGGAGCCAGGTTGACTGGATACACATTAGCCAAGGAATTTATTATAAACCTGGAGTGTGTGTGATCCTCCACCCTGTGTGCCATTCTCCCACATCTCTCTGTGGGAACACTTAGAACTCTGCATTCTAATAAAACCTTTCAGATTGGGAATGATGATTTAGTCTACTTCTCTTATTTTACAGGAAAGAGTTGGAATGGTTAAGAGTGGCTAACCCTGCTGAATATGGGTGGGGAGGACCATCTTTCCATTAAATAGTGATGGGATGATGAGGTATCCAGATGAGAACAAAATGAAATTGGAGCCCTGCTCCATATATAAAAATGAACTCCAGTGAATTTTTGACCTAAATGTATAAGCGAAACTGCAAAGCTTTTAATGTTTAGTTCTGTAGTTCTAAAGAAAATAATACAGGGAAATATATTTTAATGATAGCCTTGGCTTTGGAAAGGATGTGCTGGGTCACAGCACCATCCACTCAGCTATATTGAAACTAAGTGTTTCTTTTCATTAAAAGGCACCACAAAGTGAAAAGACTAGATCTGTGATGGGAGAATATATTGGTAATACATAAGATATCAAAGGATTTATTACCAGGATATATAAAGAACTACTATACAGTTACAAAGAAAGTCATCTTTAAGAGTCTTAGTAAATACATTTCAGTAACAAAAAGACAATTCATTTAAAAGAGGATCTGAAGAGATCCTTTTCCAAGGAAGATGTACACATGGCCAGTAAGCACATGAAAGGATACGGGATACCATCAGGAGATGCAAATGAAAACCACAGTGAGCTACCACTTCACACCCATTAGAACACCTAAAATCAAAAGTTGGATAACAAGTACTGATGAGGATGTGGAGGAATTTAAGTGCGCATACACTGAGAAATGTAGTTGGTATAGTCAGTTTGGAAAATAGCCTGGCATTTTCTCAGAGTTACCATATGACTCAGCATTTCCATCCCTTAGGTATATATCCAAGAGAGATTTATCCACATAAAAACTTGCGCACAAAAATTCATAGGATTATTCATAATAACCAAAAAGTGGAAGCACCCCAATTGGCCAAGGCCAGTGGATGAATTAAGGAACATACAAAATGCGGGATACCTATACAGTTGAATATTATTTTGCCACAAAAGAAATGAAAGACTACTACATGCTACAACTTGGATGAGCGTGGATGGACATGAGTGATGAAGCCAGGTATAAGAGTTTATGTATTATATGATTCCGTTAATATGAGAGTCCGGAATATAAGAAGAGTAGTTTAGCAGTTCCACATGGCTGGTGTGCAGAAAATGGGTGGCTAGGGTGGTGATATGATAGCTGAAGTTTCTTTTTGAAATGAAAATGTTCTAAAACTGGTGATGGTTGCACCCTGAGTATACCAGAAGCCATTGAGTTGTACACTTGAAGTGGGTGCATTGTATGAATTATATCTCCATAAAACTTGGTTCAAAAAAAGTTAGGGACTTTATCCAAGAGAAATCTAAATGGTCCATACACATGAAAAGGTCTTTGATCACCATTTAGAAAAATGAAAATGAAAACTAGGCTAGGTTACCCCACCCTCCCCTCCAGACGGACAGTCATTTAAAGTGCGACAGTGCCAACTGTTGGTGAGGATGTGACATGACAACACTGCTGGTGGGAATATCTAGTATGGTGAAAACACGCATAGGACCAAGCAGTTTCTCCTAGGTCTGTGCTCTAGAAATGCTTGGATGTGTTGTACTACGATGAGCATGCAAGAATGTTTGTGATAGACCCTAGCTGGAAACAACCCAGCTATGGAAATGAACTACAGCTATACAAAACATCCTGGATGGAATCTTAACAACAATAAGCAAAAGGAATGAGAGAGAGGAATAATAGTTTTCTCCCCACTCATTCGTAGTTGAATAGTAGGTAAATACTGTTTGGTGGTGCATTCATAGGGGATGAGACTAAAGAACATGGAATATGGAAGTCACCAGAGTGGTTGTCTCTGGAGACTGGGGTGCTGAGGGGGAGGCGGCCCCTAAGGAGAGTTCCAGAGTGCTACAGCATTCTGTCTTCCTACCAGGGTGGTAGTTGTGCAGGTGCTATTTTATAGTTACTGTTAAACTGCCATTATGTTTGTTAGGAGAGCAAATGAAAATTTAAGACCCAATGGGCCCTTTAATAAAAATGAATAATTTACTGTGCTCTTTTTCATTATCAACAGTTTAGGCTGAATTCTATATCATTTCTTTTCTGGATACCAAAAGCTTGGGAAGAATGTAAACTTAGAAAAAAATTAAATATGGAAATTTTTATTGGTGACAAAATCATTTAGTCACTTCCAAGTGGAAGACTGTCATATCATTCAAAAAGCAATTTTAAAATTCCAGTGAAATATTTCATCCCCTACTTAGCCGGGGAAGAGTGTTTTTAGATTGCTACACAAAAGCCTGCATAAAACGGAAATCAGCCCACAGTTTTAGTTGTTAGCCCTACAAGAAACGGGGAGGGGGTGTTGATGCTAAGAAAACGTAATCTATCAAGCTCTGATGAATCAGGCGGCTTTCATTTCTCTCAGAGAGATTTAGTGTTTAGTTGTAAGATGTTTTTGAAAATGAAAAACACATAATGGAGCCCTTCAAGATATTTCAGACCTAAGCTAGGCTTATTACATGAATATGCTAATGAAGCAACCGGGCCTTCAATGAGTCTCCTTCCTTTTGGAATGGTGAATATAAAGCAAAAGACCGTTGCATTTAAAAATTTTAATTATAATGTGGTTTGGGTTTTCTTCCCTTAGACATGAACTTGGATATTACCAGAGTAAAGTCAAATAGATACTTTCCAAGATTTAGAACTTAACCATACTGTTACCATGAAGTCTGTGGGCCACATAACCACGTTTCTGAGAAAATACATGGTTTTTGCATTTTTTTAAAAGTTAGCACTAAGGATCCATCCAAGATGCAGTTGTTTTTGTAATTAATTTTATTTCTTCCCTTAAAATACTGTTTTGAGTATAAAAATTGTAACAGAACAGAAGAAAGATGTTTTAGGATAGATATATTTAAAGAATAACTTTTTCCCCTTAAAATCTCAGTGTTCCACATACTAAGCACATCCTGTTAGACTTCTTAAGTATTAAATGTATCTTCTATCCTTGGTCTTTCTGCATTTAGCTTTTTTGGGAAGTATGTTTTTACCCACAGCATATGGTATGAGCTGCTGATTCAGTATTGAGTGGCTCTTTAAGCTTGTTAGTTACATTCTGTTGATCAAAATGGTACGCCGAACAGTCAGAAGAAAAACTGGTTCCTGGTCTGAAATAAATTAAACACTGTTAATCAGCTTCTGAAGAGGAACAAATGAGTAAAAGGGATTTTGTAAGGAAGTCTAACACTGCCTTCCCCGGTTCAGTGTCTTTGGGTGGGGGGTGGGGAAGGTATTGGGTGTGGCCAATGTGAAAATGCCCAGAGTGATGCACACAGTTTGAGGCTAAAACTGGAAGTGGAGCCTAAATTAAAGTAATAGTTTTCTGCCTGATACTCTCCCCACTCTACTTCCCTTGATAGAGCTGCAGCTTTCTCTTAATTCTGCATCGGATTTATCCATGTGTCCTTCAGCTGTTGGTGGACGCTGTGCGGCTGTGCTCACCGTCACAGAGAAAGTAGTCCCTTATAGGAAACGTCTCATCGCTGGTAGCAATGCCTTCCTCCCTCTGCAGAGGGAAATGGGGAGACCTTGCCTTGCCTTTGACACAGCAGCTTCCCTGCTTCCCTGGAAGCAATGTTTCATGGTGTCAGACAACATTCAGAACATGGTCCAAATTCAATGTATGTTAGCATATTTTTGCTTTGGCTTGTGGTTTGTCCAACAGAAGTGCCCACACACATCTTTCATCCAGCTCTGTGGGAAGTTCAGCAATGGCTCGAACAATATGGGATGTTGGGCTGCTGTCACTGGACCATCCTGATCTTATTTCTAGACTTGGTGAACAGAAGACCACACTGCTGTTGCCTTCGATTCACTTCAAAGAGGTAAAAAGAAATTATAAACTCCCTTAAACAGTTAAATTGAGGAGGAGAGGAAAATTCTGTCAGTGGACAATTCATTAGCTCTAACAAAAGAACAATAGCTATGAATCCCTTGGTGTTTGGAACCAACCAGTACGTTTAACCATAGCAGTCAACCTATATCATCCCATTATTACTATTGTGTTTATTTCCTAGAATCTTGGTGACACTTATAACTAGCAGTCAGTTTAATTTTACAAATAATCTTGAATGGAAATAGCTTAAAGCCAAATTAAGCGTAGTTAAATCTAGGACAGTGTAACTATTTTCAGTTCAGCCACCAATCTGAAATTTCAGTATGCGTTGTCCATCCAGCAAGATGTATTTTTATTTTCTTCACATAATGATCAGGACTTCCTATTTAGTACCAATTTTAATGTGATATTTTATTATTAAACATTGTGTGGCTCAGCCACATCATGAAAATGACTTTCCACAATGAATCCTGAGTATTTTAACCTGGAGGAAGAATTTGGCAACATTAAATACTTGGTGGGTATCTGAAAGGACAGGGTCCTGTGCTGGTTCTACCAAAAGCTCATAGAGGTAGGCACTTCCGTCTGTGCTCCACAGACAAGGACACCTGGCTTCGGAGGTTCAGGGACTCGGCCGGGTCACACAGCCAGGAAGTGGCAGAGCGAGGATTTGCGCTGCAGGAGCGTGTTCCAAAATCTGTGCTTTTTTTTTCCCTTTCCATTTAGATACTTAAAATATAGTTAGGGATCTGAAAGGCACACTGGTGATAAATTTAATCTTTCTAAATATTATTTAGTGTCAAAATGAGTGGT